GATGTAGTGACAGAAGGTGGATTCGGAAGTCTTCCACATTGACCAGTGTACATAAAGACCCCCACGGAGACCGGACAAGGATTGTCTGCCCTCCCACTTCCGGTGTCCTTCCGTGCCCTCTGTTTGTATGGTCACGGTTAAGCCACGTCAACATTTTATATTACTATTCATTTTTGTCTTATTATCTCTATAAAAAAATAATATAAAATGTTAACTTGACTTAACCGTAACCACATAAAACAGGAGGGCATGGGAGGGCACCAGAAGTGGGAGGGTAAACAATCTTTGTCCACGGAGACCTTCCATTATCTGTAATTCTAAAGATTTTAGATCCAGTGTCACATCCGAAAAAGAAAAAGAAAAAATCCCCCGCCACATGTTTTTATTTCTATACAAGACGGTGTAGATAGATTTACAACATTGTTACCTTAACGAATATGTTTCATGTAAGTCGAAACAAGAGATAGGCGACTATAGAGTTTTTAAATCTAGGCTTTGATATGGAAGGGAGAGAACGGCTATGTGTGCCCCTTCTTAGATTTGAAGCTTTCAGTCAAAACATCCAAGAGACAAAACAAAATTCTACTAAAAGTTAAAATAAGACGTGTTTCCATAACCTATACATTTCCTTATAAATTCCAATATCCAACGACCATTCAAACATAAAAACTAAAATCATTAAGAAACAAAAAAAAATACATAAATTGAAAAGACAAAAACAATAAAGAAAATGTAGGTTTGTATATAAGAAGTATATTTTTGTTATCCAAAAATAAACAAGTAGATTTTGTTTCAAAAAATAAGAATGAATTGTAGTAATGGTCCTTTAACTTTAATAAAATTGGAGTAATGATCCCTTAATTAAAAATCCATTATTATTGATCTCTCAAATAATAATTGAGTTTTTGATGGCAGCGATGTTGTTGGTGGCTATGTCTATGATGACTCCAGAGCCAACACGTCGTTTTAAATCGGGGCACCGTGAGAGGAAAGGGCTTCTGGATCGGGTCGTTATTTTTGGGCCACCAAATTAAAGTTATTGTGATGTTAGGATGTGGATCTCTAGAAAACGGAAGCACCTATAGCAAAAAAAAATAATAATAATAAAAGGAGGTAAAAGTAGCCAATTATCTCATTGAATTTTGCTTTTAACCATTTGAGTTTTTAAAAATAGCCAATTATTTTCCCTCGGTCAGATTTTCAAATTTTCTTTATCCATTTTTTTATAGGAGTTTTAACAAAAAGTCCGCAGTACTGTTCACTTTAACGAAAAACCACATTTTTACACTAAAAAGTCAATTCTGTTACTATTCACTTTACCCTTTATTTTGTCATTATCGTTAAAACTCAAAGTTTTCAAGCCATTTTCATTAGTTTTCCTTTATTCTATTCATGTTTGTACACTTCCAAGGATAACAAAAAAATCATTTCGTTGCACTCAGATGAGTCATTGTAATGCAGAGGTTTATATATAAACTTACTTGAGGAAATGTATTTTAGAAAGACAAAAATTCATATTCACCTTTGATTGAGAGCACTTGACTAATTTGCACAGAATTTGAATTTAACGTTGAAATAAAAATTTAAGGCAAAAAACAAGAAAGTCTGGGTTTAAAAGAGAAAAGGCTTTCGTTGGAGGGAGTAAGGTTTAGGCAGCCATTCCTAGGGTTAGAGTTTCAGTGAAACGGAATGGAGAAGAATAGGGGAGTATTTAAAATTTTGTGGTAGGATGGGAGTATTTAAAATTCTTTTTTTTTTTTAGCAAACAATAAATTTTTTGTTGAAACATAGATACTTTTAAATACTATCACCTAGCATTTTATGTAATACTCACTGTTTCAGCCTAACCTTGAGTTCGATATTTTATGCTAGGATATGAGTATTTAAAATTCTCATTCTTTTCATTGAAAAATGGAGAGACGCATACTTTATTTATTTATTTCTGTCAACCAAATAATTTTGTTGATCACAACCACAGTAAGTGGTCCAGTGGTAAGGGCGCAGACTGCAGCTCTCCAATAAATAAAAAAATGTGAGAGGTCCCAGGTTCGATGCTCTGACCTGGTGAGTCTTTTTGACCCTGACCAAGGGCAGGTGAAACTCCCCATAGCCTCTACGGGTCCGGAATGGATGAATAATTGTGAGTTGCCACAAGTTGTCCTCTTTTTAAGGAAAAAATAAAATAAAATAATTTTGTTGATCATGAAAACCTTCGTGCATGTATTGTTTCAAATAATGTCATTAAATGGTTGGATTTATTTCCAAGAAAAATAAATGATTGGAATTATTGATACATTCGTAACCTAGCTTGTTCAAAAAAATTTTGATGATCTTGTGCGCGTACTGTTTCAAATAATATCTCCAAATCTTGGGATTTATTTCCAATAAAATACAATGCCCGGATACTTTGCTATATTCATAACCTATATATGTACCAACGATCAGACTTTCCTATTTCTTGGACTCGCAATTTTAATTATGCTTTAATACCCAAAGATCATTCTTGTCTTCGAGTCTCTATAAATTACACATTCTCTCAGACCTTTCAACGCAACAAGTGAAAGAGCAATACACAAGGGAAGTGAAAATTTACAAAGAAAAGATGAATAGGTTTACAATCACATCTTTCCTCCTTGTGTTGGCGCTTTTGTCAAGCTCCACAGGTCTGTTTCAGTTATCTTCAATCATATTTATTTTTGGGTAGCCTTTTTGCTTTCTAGGACTAAAATAAGACTCGTTTATATGTGCTTTTAAAATGACTAAAAACGTTTTTAGAGAAAAAAAATTTTGGTCTCAAAAGCATTAAAGTGTTTTATGTAAGAACTAAGAAGCACCAGTTATATGTTTCTTCTAGGAAACACTTTAAGTGTTTTTTTCATGATTTATTTGCATTTTTACTATAAGGATTGGTTCTAAAAATATTTTCACAAAAAAACGCTTTCAATTATTTTCAAAGCACTACCAAACAAACACATATTTCAAAGCACTACCAAACAAACACATAACCTACTATATATTTCAGTTTCATATGGTCTAAACATCCATGCAAGCTTTTGGGATGGTTTTTTTTTAGTTTATTTTCCTAACATTTTATCGATAGTACTAGGTTTTGCAGTAATTGATTTCTAATATTATTTTTTTTTAATTTTGGTTTTATTTGCTCGTGTCACCTCCTTGCATTTTCCATGTTTTTTCAATAATTAATCAATTTTTAATTAATTAGTAATTTGATTGTGATTTCAATTTGCAAGATTTCAATTGCTCAAGCTTCAAGGTGCTGTAATAATCACCCCGAGCAAGGAAAAGAAAAAGGAAAATGTGAGGATGGAAAGTGCAGGGAATTCTGCATTGCAGATTGTGAGAAAGGAGGTTTCTGCAAAAAGATTAGCTCTGGCCCTGTATGCCATTGCTACTGTTGAGCTTCTTTCAACACAAGGATATTGATTTATTTCATATTATATTTTGAATAAAAATTGTTAGCATGTGATGGAGGAGGTTGTTCCTTGTTTGGAGTTTCATCTCCAACATGCATATGTGTAACACATTAATTTGTTGAATAATATTGCCTTGGGTTTAAAAATACAAGCTATGTTTATAGAATGTAAAACCTAAGAACTTTAATTTAGATGGGCTAGGATCAAAATCAAAACTAACGAGCAAATCCAAATAATTAAATAACCATAAAATACAAATATTTTTCAACACAAATGATAACCAAAAAATCATTTCGTTGTACTGAGATGGATCGTTGTTATGCACAGGTTTATAGATCAAACTTGCTCGAGAAAATAGATTTTAAAAAGGTAAAAAGTCATATTTACCCTTAATTGGGGGAGAATCGGGCTCACAAGCTTGACCAATTTGGATACAATCTTGAATGTAATGTTGAATAAACATTTAAGTTGAAAATTGGTATCCCTCAAAAAAAAAAAAAAAAAGTTGAAAATTGGCAAAGTAATACAAGTTGAGGAGGTAAATCGGCGATTTTTTTTATATAATAATTAATTTGATTCTATAGAGATAGAGTAGTGCTAAATATATCAAATTTGGAGACTAAACTTGCAAATTAAATGGCGTGACATTAATAGGAGTAAGTACGTTTATCAACACTTAAGTAACAAATCAATCATCAATTTCCATATCTTTTGGTCTCCAAAATTTGCTCGACAAATTTAGTTTGTCTAACATTACCCATAGATTAATATTAGGCAGGTGAAAGAGTTTGAACTTGGATGGAATGGCTCATTGGATTTTGATCTGACGGCTAAAATTATTATAACTTTTAGAGAAACCCTCTTTTTATAGCCGTTAAATCAAAATCTAACGATCCATGTTATTCGGTCAATAGGATCCCGAGGCATTGCCTCGGAGAGGAACAATTCCAACTTGGATGACAAAACTTCAGCTTACAGTAATTCTAACGTTGAGAGTATTATCGTTAATTCCAAACTCCGACATGGATTTGCAAATGGCTTTTCTTACATGCATTGTAATGCTCGTGTAATGCATCTCTAAAGATTTCTGTACCCAACAAAAAGATTAGGGGGAAGGTTTCCATGTCATCCTCTTTACCCTCGTTATTCGCGATTAAACAATCTCGAATGGTTGATTGTTTAAGTCTTATGTGAAGACAAGAAACTTGCTCGCCATCTGTTTGATGTATTGTCTCAATCAAGTCATGGTCCTCTTCTTGTTGCATTTTTAGTTTCCGAGTGCCGAATTGAAGAGTAAATTTGGAGGGATTTTTTTATTTTTATTTTCCCTAGCGAACAATGCCCCGTAGACATATAGACAAGGTTATATACGGCGCAAAGCTTCTAATGGCTAAGCGAAACGGAGCTTAGTATTTGAATGCGCTGCTGTATCATTGCTTTGAAGAAGTTTGGTGAAGAGCCTTTTGACACCACAGTGACATCAGAATGCATTCCGGAAGTTGACGAAATTAACCCAATTGTTGAAAAATGTCGGTTTGATCGATGGAAGGTTTGTTAATTTCAGTGATGGTTCGATTATCATCGACGACCGTCGACCATGTTGAACGCAGAATGCTTACTTTCAAGTCACTTGCCAGGGTCTTTACTGGAGCTCCATTGGTACAGAAAGTGCTGAAGAATCATGTGGCGGCATTGTCAGGAGGTATAATCTATAACCCGTTTGTGTGTTTCGGTACACCTAGTGAAAGGGAGCCCGTGATTGTGAAATCACTCTCCCCAGTAGGACAGTGCGTGTCAAAATATCCCCACAGGTCGCACAACCCCACATAAGGACTGTCGCGCTTGGGGAGGTACTCAATGGATTGAAATCCGAGCTGGACTATTTAGATTATCGTTGCCCAAGCAAAGGGACAAAGAGGACAGCAGATAGTTTCTAGCGGTCTAAAGTTCTTGGCTGACACATCCACGTCCGTTTCATGTGAGCACGACTTCTCTTCATGGACAAGCCTTTCGCCTGCAAAAGTTATTGACTCTTCTGGTTTGCAAAAATGGGAAGATGTTCTTGAAATGTTCAACGACCTCATTGATTGGTTGAAAAATGAAAGGGAGTTGCTCGTTTACGTAGCAAAGCTTGAGGTCACGAAAGAGGGGCTTTCTCAAGTCAAGGATGTGCTGACTGATACAAGTACAGGACACAAGGAAGTTCGGCATCAAGAAAGCCTAGTGCAGAAGAAGTTGACGAAGACACTGGGTTATTCATCCAAGTGCTTGTTCGCACTTATGTTATATTACCTCTATGGGCATGTTAGAGATATTGAAGTGGATGTACGCGGTGGGGTTTATAGCTGTGGTAGTGAGAATGATTTCTGCTTGTGCATGGGAAGGATTGTGACTTCGGATGTGGTATGGAGTGAGGTGAGGCAGTTGGACAGGGCTCTTGGGATTTTCAAGTTTGTGTGGGAAACAGCAGGGGTGAAAGGAGCTTTGCAACTGCAAGGCCATATATGGTGTGTAGGGGCTGAGGCCAGAGTGGTTACGTATAGAGGAAACTCATTTTTTGGTACACGGATTTCGTGTTTAAGCAATGATTGTCTTACAATGTGAGCTCAAATCTCAGAGGCTATTTATGTGATACATTGACCAGTGAAGAATTCATCGAAGTTGGGACTGCTGTAGAGAGACTAGCAAGAATTGGAGAAGTTGCTGCAGCAACTACGATGGGTTTAACTCAGTAAGTTCTAGGAGTTCTTAACATCACTCGACAATAGACAGATGATTGCTTGAATATGTGAAATTGGTCATCTGCAAATGTCAAGGGTTGTGCACAGATGAAACGATGAACAGTTATCATTTCCGTGGTCATGAACAAACTAGAATCCATTAATGATAACAGGTGATGTCAAAAGAAGGCGATTAGACACACTGTTTGAATGGAAGTGATCACAAGGACTGCAGCAACCGCAACAATAGAAAGTAGAGAGCATGGAGATTGAAAGAGTGTTGTTTCAACCATTGCCTACCACATCTGCGTTATGCATTGATGTGTTTACCAAGATCAGTAAAGGGATTTCTTCGGAACAATTACTTCCTCGGATTAATAAGGTTTGTTAACCTCGTCCCTGTCAAGCTTTGAGTTTCAACAGTTACATTTTTGAACAAGCAATTCCATATCCTTGCGAGTGATGCTTAAAGCAACATTTTAATGGAAATGTTCACTTGGTGTGGCAAAAAAACAGCAAACATGATACAATTACTCTTCTTTTTCTTTAAACATACAAAGACATAACATAGGTCCAAGAACATCAAATTGGTAAACATCAGAAGCTACGTACGCATTAATTTAGGAAAGTGATTATTGATTGAATCTAAGGCCTGATGAAAATATAGAAGTGCAGAGGACAAAAGGGTCTGCAGAAATCACCTCCCTTTATTTACAACGCACGCTTCAATGAAAATCATTACAAATAGCCACTGCTTCCCTATCAATTATAAAATCACACTCTTGAATACTTTATATTTTGTTGGAACATTTATTACACTCACTTGAAGGAAACTTGAGATTGCTAAGGCAAACTCTGTACTCTCTCAAAGACTAGGCTAGACTTGTAAGGATACAGCGGAGGAGAGCCTTGCGGTCGTTGATGCTTAAGCAGTAGATTTAACAGAGCACAGAGTTTGTATGAAAGTGAGTACGAGGAGAATAACAGCAGCAACAACAGAAATAATGGACCAAGGCGAGTCAAAATAATATTTTCTCAAAGTTGTCTTCCCTTTGTACCATCGAAATTTGCTAACAAAAACCCCAGTCGTAAGGGATTTACAATGACCATCAATATAGTACTTGTTCAGATCTTCACAAACAAGATATCTTCTTGTTGGATAGTGGCCAAATTAGTGGTCAAGTGGCCAAAAGCATATAATAAAAAATGAAGGACATAATGATATGAGAACATCATTATGAGAAGACCAATGATGATGTTTGTTGAAAAGAAAAAAAAATGTCATGATTATGTTTGTAAAGGAATGATTATTTCTTTACTTTGGATTTTTTATTGAATGCTTTTGTATGGATTAAGGTTTCGGCCGAATGTGGGAGAAGGATGGGGAGAGCTGCAAATGAGAGAAACCAGGGAGAGCATTCGGCTCTCCCATTTGAATATGAGCTGCTCCTTCCCACCATTTGTAATAATCCCATTTTGTTAGTAATCACTCAATCAAATATGTTGGTGCTACTTGTGTAGCTTTTGGGAGAGAAGGATTTTGATATGTGTTTCTTCTTCTCCATTTGTTTCTTAGTTTGAGTGAGAGCTATTTGGTGTATGTGGGATTTGGGTTTGAGAGTTAAAACTCAATTTGTAATCTCCTTTTGATATTAGTGGAATTTCCTCGCCGTCTCGGAACTAGACGTAGGCTTACGCCGAACCAGTATAAATCCTTGTGTTCTTTGGATTATTTGTCTTGTCATATTTTACCGTATTAGCTTATTGGTTTCATATTTGACGCTTCCGCACAACAAGTGGTATCAGAGCTCCGGGTTTCGACTTGGAGGCTTTGTACTAGTTTGTCTATGAAATCTTCGAATGACGGTGAAATATGTTTTTTTGAAAAAATTCGACAGGAGGAATGACTTTGGCATTTGGTCAATTGGAGATGCAGGTGTAGTGTACTGCTTTTGGTGGGTTTTCCGTTGGTCATCGTTGCACCGGAGGTGTTTGTGAGCTATTGTCGACGAGTTGAGTGGAAAGGAGAAAAAGTAGAAGCTGTTGAGAATTGAAAAGAAAATGTTGGTTCCTTTTCTTTTGGCATTTGTTTTGGCAGAAGGACATCATGATGACAAATGATGTTGTTGGCTGGAAGAAAAGGGAAAAAGGCTAAGGCTAAGTTTTCTTTTCTTTGGCATTTTTTTTCAATGGCAGAAATTGTTTGGTTGTTTTTCACTCCCACTAGTTGCCTTTGGAGCAAGTTGATGGAAACATTGGAGGAGTTTGTGAGGGCCAATTTGTTGAGTTCTGCAAGTTTGGATAGTGAGACACCACACTATTTTGGAGACACCTAATGCGGAACATTTGTGTGGAACCCTCTTGTAGAAGGCAAGTTATATGCTTTCTAACTTTGTTTGGTCTATGGATATTTGGTTGGATTTGTTTGCCACTGCTATTTGGTCTGTTGGTCTCCATCATCTGCAATTAGTTTTCTTGAAGACTCCAGTTGAGGTATAGTTTTGGATCTCCTGCTGATTATTTGAATTTAAAATTTTGGTTGTCCTGTTGGTGCTCATGTGATGATGGTAAACTTGAGTGAAGGGCATATTTTTTGTATGTGGTATGTTAGACCTTGTTGCCAAATTTGTAATCAGTTTTGACTTGGAGAATGTGTCATGCTATGTGAATGAGTCTATTGGTGTAGTTTAAGACCATGGTGTTTGTGAGCAGGTGGAGTTCGTTGTATGTCCAACTTTGGTATGGTGTGCTTGATCTTTTGTCGGTGATATTGAAGAATTTCAGTTCTTCGTTTGAATCACTTTTGTTTTGATCAAGGCACTTATGGTTTGCAAATTTGGAGAAGACGGTAGAGAAATGCTCTACTTTTGTTGGCTTTGGTAAAATTTGAGTCGAGGTGGAGATCATTATGAGTACCGAAAGTTTGGAGAATTTGATTTAGTTCCCGTTGTCTTTAGTTTGTACTTTGGGTGCTTATGGTGATTGTTGATTCGATTCTCTGTGATGTTTTCAGAATTTGGCCAAGGTGGAGATTGTTGGATAGTGGCCAAATTAGTGGTCAAGTGGCCAAAAGCATATAATAAAAAATGAAGGACATAATGATATGAGAACATCATTATGAGAAGACCAATGATGATGTTTGTTGAAAAGAAAAAAAAATGTCATGATTATGTTTGTAAAGGAATGATTATTTCTTTACTTTGGATTTTTTATTGAATGCTTTTGTATGGATTAAGGTTTCGGCCGAATGTGGGAGAAGGATGGGGGGAGCTGCAAATGAGAGAAACCAGGGAGAGCATTCGGCTCTCCCATTTGAATATGAGCTGCTCCTTCCCACCATTTGTAATAATCTCATTTTGTTAGTAATCACTCAATCAAATATGTTGGTGCTACTTGTGTAGCTTTTGGGAGAGAAGGATTTTGATATGTGTTTCTTCTTCTCCATTTGTTTCTTAGTTTGAGTGAGAGCTATTTGGTGTATGTGGGATTGTTTGAGAGTTAAAACTCAATTTGTAATCTCCTTTTGATATTAGTGGAATTTCCTCGCCGTCTCGGAACTAGACGTAGGCTTACGCCGAACCAGTATAAATCCTTGTGTTCTTTGGATTATTTGTCTTGTCATATTTTACCGTATTAGCTTATTGGTTTCATATTTGACGCTTCCGCACAACACTTCTTGGTATCGCCTCTGGGGTTTTCATCAGACGCTTCATGAGGAAAATATAATTAGATAGGTAATTCTCCTCTTTGCAATGGCATTGTTCAAAAGCAACGAGATTTCTGAGTTTCCTATCTGTGGTATCGTCTATTGTTAACCTTGGAATTTCTAGGATCCCGTTGGAGAATTTTATGTCAAATAAATCGCTGCTGTCTTTTCGTACCCTAAACTTGACTTCAACCTGGAGTACTGTCACGTTGGGTACGGCTATGGCTTGAGGTACAACTGTGGCTGTGGCGTTGGGTATGGCAGTGGCTTTAGGTACGGCTGTGGTTTTAGGTACCTCTCTAGGTTTTGATTTCAACGGTAGGTAGAGATTTCTTATCAGATCAACAAAATGTTGTACTTCTACCCCAGAAGAACATATTTTGTCAAACTTCTTTTCCCTTGCTATCGATTTCGCTTACAAAAGAAAGGTAGGAGATTTCAAGTAATGAAGGCAGATGACGTAAAGACGAAAAAGCTGTGTTGAAAAGTGTAAGATGTGGCCATGGCAGTGAGGTTCTTGGCGGGGATCCTTCCTTCATACGCCGCATTTATTCTCTGGTAGCAATCTAGAGCAGGATGCCCTTGTTTTCCACAAATTTGGCATGTAATCCTTTCACCTGCACTATTGAACTTTTCACCATTGCATGCAAAATTAGGTCTCACATTGTTGTTGTAATGATTGTTGCGGGGATTAACACCTCGCTGGTTTCCAGCAGCACGACCACGATCAGCCGGAACCATTCCTCGTCCATTTCCACGAAGTTGTCCACCACGACCTCTGGCCGTGACAAACGCATTAACAGGAGCAGCCTCCATGAGTGGAGCAGCTTGCTCAGTCATCCTTCTCTCTGTTGTCAGTAAGAGCGCCTCAAGCGTAGGGTACGTGATTGGAGTATCATGTGCCTGAGCAGCGTTCACTGTTATCTCATAAGCAAGCCCAAGATTGTTCAAAATAATCTGGACAAGTTCATCATCATCCACAGGTTTGCCAGCTAGGACAAGGTTATCAGAAATAGCATTCATCTTATCAAGATAATCAGCAATCGACAAATCACTTTTTTTTGTTTGTATAAGTTCATTCCGTAGAAACAAGATGCGATTCTGAGACGTAGAGGCATAACGTTGCTTGAGAGCCTCCCAGGTAGCACGAGAGGTCCTCTTGCTAGCCATGACCGAGAGCACAGACGGCGTGAGAGAGCCATTAATCCAGCTGAGTATCATTTGGTCGTACTGCACCCATGTTGTGTACGCAGGATTGGTATTTGTACTTCCAGGAAGCTGCTTGGGAGGGAAAATAATGGTCCCATCGACGTAACCCATCAGTTCCTGACTCTTGAGAACAGGTAAAATCTGAGCCAACCATAGAGGATAATTGGTACGATCCAGCTTAATATTCACAACTGAGGTCAAGGAAGCGAAGGGGTTCATGGTGGAATTTGTGGGGTTGGAAGTGGTGGTTTGGGTTGCAGCCCCGTTGCTAGAATCGGCCATGGAAAAAAAAAAGGGATCTGTGTCGTTAGACTGCTAGGGCTCGTATACCATGTAAATCTTAAGAACACTCAAGGTTTCTCTTCAATTGCATAACCCAATTAGTGATGGGCTGCATGTATTTATACTGCATTCCAGATTACATCAGGGAATCGAAATCCCTATTTACAAGGCAATTTGAAATTCAAAAATACAACAGAAAGATCAAACTTTGATTTACACGGAAATAAATATTTGAAAGAGTTTTAAACTAAACTAACTCTTGTTGGATAACAGTTTGACTTGATCACGAACACTTGAAACCGTACGCAGACTAAAACTTGGTCTAACAGAAAAGAACCTGAAGAAGGAAGAATGGCAGCTGATTTTCAAGCAACACCAATTCTGGACGCACATCCCACACCATCATTGGCTTGTTAAATATGCACTCAGCTTCACCTTGTAATTCTACGAAATAGTACCTCAATAAGAACTCAATGACGAAAGCGGCATCCACTAAAACAATTCTTACAAAGTCATAACTGTCAAACTCAATGGGTTCTGCATAAGAAGCTCGCAACCTTCCCTCTTGGTCCTCTATCATTTGTATATAATCAAAGAAGCTTACCCTGGTTCTACTTAGAAAATCTCGCAGGTACCTTATTCTGTGCTCTTCCATGGCTTTTAATAAGTGTCCCAGGCCATGGTGAAGTGGGCCTATAGAGACTACCCTAGGTGTGTAATGCTTTCTCATTTCCCTCCCGTAGTCGCTCAGGAACTCTACAGATACACAGGAAAGGGGACAGGGGAGAAAAGTTACACAACGCCTCGAGGAATGGATCGTTGGGGTTGAAAAGGCACAGGGGAGACGAGTTACGCAACGCCTCGAGGACTGGATCGTAGGGGTTTTCTATGTCATTTTGAGCTTCATCGATTCCTAATATTTTACCGCCTGAGATCATCATCTGCATTAATTCAAATATTTCACTAAGCACACATTCCACTGATACTTGGAGCAAACTTTAGCAAGAAAAATTAAAAAAAAAAGAGACTTTGGATGCGGTCCCTAACTATGAATATTCTTTGACTAAAACCTTATTGGTTTTCAATTTTTGATCAAAATCCCTGAAATTAATGTGATAATTTATTTCTATGTACGTTACTATATTTTTTAAATTAAAAATTTATATTTATATTTGTTTATATTAATGAGATTTTAATAAAAAAACCATAATTTGTGGGATTAAAAATATTAAAATAAAAATATACTATTGTGTGTGTGTATATATATAAACATGGGTACATTCATCAAAATTAATCAAAAAATTATTGTATCAAAATATGAGTACATTCTTCAAAATCACAAAAAAGAAAGAAAGAGATATTAGGCTTAATAATATTAGTAAATTTTTTCGATTAAACTTAACATGGATACATTCTCAAATCAAAGAAAAAAGAATGTACCCATATATGTTTAAAAATGGATTAGAAAAAAATTGAATAGATTTTATATATAAAAAAGTGGTACATTTTACATATAACAAATTGGTATATTTAAGAATTAGTACATTTTAAGATTAAAAATTTGAAAAAATTACATGAATGGGTACATATAATTAGCATGGGTACATTTAGCAAAAATAAAAATGGGTACAAATAAATAAAAAAACATGGGTACAAATACAAATAAAACTTTAAAAAATATGGGCACAAAAAGAAATTAATATATGGGTACAAATTAAAACTAATAAGAAAATTGGTACAAATTAAAAATGGGTACAAACTAAAAATAAAAATATATGATAAAAATATACTAATGGTAACATTTTTAACATTAAATGAATATATTTAGAAATAAAAATATTTTATTATTGAAATAATTAATGATGTTATTAATACCAAGGACCTTGATAAAAAATTGAAAAGGAATAAGGTTTTAATCAATGGAGTAACAAAAGTAAGGATGAAAACCTAATTTCTCCTAAAAAAAAATCCCGCCAGATGACTTCGGAGATGAGAATCACTTACGTCATCTTCTTCACCATCTCCGACCAATTCAATTTTTTCCAAATCCATTGGCTCCTCCACGGGTCCGAAGCCTGCAACACACAATCACACCATAAGCTTGATACCATCCATATATTTGGCCAAAGTGGTTAATTGAACAAACAAGTTTGCACGGTTAACTTGCCTCTTGTAGACGACTAAGAAAACTCAATACATATTACTTGCTCTCCTCTGATAGACGAAAAGTAAATTTTCTTTGACGATAGCACAATGATAGGCTGGTTATATATAACCATTTTTACTTCAATATGATTTTGCAGAACGTTTTTAATTGGCCATGTTAAATTAATGTCATGATTCACATGTACCTACCCTTATATTTCCTTGACTAAAAAAAAAAGTAGCTGATACTTTTTTTGTTTTTTTTGTTTTATCAGAAAACCATCTTCATTAAACAACCAGAGGGAGAGGCCCCTACAAAAAACAAGAGACAAGGCACAGGTGCAAAGTCCCCCAGTAATACATGTAAAAAAAAAGTTTAAAGAGAAAAAAGGTTTAAACAACTCAAACTATACATGCAAGAAATCTCCGCATATTCTAAAAATTAGATAACTTTCATTTTTTATTTTATTTATTTTTAATAAATTGTAAGAGACTTGTTAAATACTTAGATGAGCATACATTATATGTCATTATATGCTTATTCCTCATGTTTTCATTATGTTATATTGCTTCATAACCGCCTAAGTGTTAGGTCCCAGCCCACCTCCCGACTAGCACCTAGCGTCTTTTAGAACCTTACTGTCATCCTATTTTGGAGTAATTATATTCTTAAGATGATGCAATAACTACTTCTAGCTATC